CATTTCGTTAAACTCCCGTAGTCGATTTGAAAACGCTAGCAAAAATTTTATCCATAACGTTTATTCAGTTTTACAGTTTGTTATGGAACTATCCGTAGGCAATCAATCAAAGTAGAAAACGTTATTAGAGATACAGATGGAAGTACTATCAGATTATAAAACTAACATTTAATTTTATATTAACACTAACGGGGAGCAGCAAATTGGACGAAAGGATGGTATTGGAACTCTAAATGTGCATCAGAGAAGCCAAGCGCATTAAACTATGCATGTCTTTTCCCGATTTTGGTTTTGTCGCTGATTACTTTCACAGTTGGTATCATCTTCCGTTTTCTAAAGATTTTCTTCTTCCCGAACTGTCTTCTCGATCGCCAGTGAATGAACGGTTAAACTACTTATTGGATGTCTTCTGCTGTCGTTTAGCGCATTGTGGAATTCCTCACTCTTCTTTTTTCGTTTTGTTTTCCTTTCTAATTCCGCCGTTGCTCAATATCAAGCCCTGCTGTCAAACGGGGAGAGTTCGGAACCGTATTGAGGCATATCTTACAAGTTATTCATCTGGCCTTCATGGCATTTCCACTATTGAATGTTATACTAGCTCTTTTGTTACATAGCTTACCAACAGCCGTGGATGCTGTTGCAGAACAGATGTAGACTGCAAAAAGTCGGTGATCAGACGTTTTTTCTCCGTTCTCTCAGCCATGGTGTAACAGCAACGATATCGATACTACTACGTTAGGAGACAAGGCGATAACGAAGATGCCACTTACCAAGGAAAGCAGTGCCCACACCGAATGAAGGAGGCATGCTCCATGCCACTATAACAGGTCAGATTTGTTTCTGTGGGAGCTCATAGACGAGAAATGAAAACATCTCTTCACTCAGGAGGAAAAAACAGCTGCTAGTTGACAAGGACGCAAAGTACAAACTGGATATAGTTGGACTTTCGTAAACAAAGTAACAGGGTTTTGGAATTTTTAACTTCTGCCGATAGAAGCTACCCTACTCAGCTGTCGATATCACAACACTCAGTCAGATCTATGTAACCATTTCTACGTAACCAAGTCCGATTTACTAAATCACTTAATGGAAAGTTATCAGCAAAAGGCTGTTAATCGTTAAGCTAAAGTTACAGCAGGCTGCCAAATTCGAAGGAAAGGCATGAGTTCTACCTTGAGGAGGTAGAGTGCGCTCTGTACAAAATGCCGAATACGGAATCCATCATCCCCATGAACGATTTCAATGCGCATTTCGAAGCAGATGCTGATAAGTGGAAAGGCATAGTGGGAAAGAACGGTCCTTAGGACCGCAAAAGTTGGATCTGTAAAAACAAAGGACTGTCAGTAATAAGACGATCCTTCGAGCTTCGTAGCTTGTATCAGTATGGTCGAATAACAGAAGTCGATGATCGACTTCATAATTGTATCGTTTGACTTACGATTATTCG